ATATATTATATATATATATATATATATAATATATATATTATTATATATATATATATATATATAATATATATATATATATAGATATATATATATATATATATATATATATTCAACACCTACCTTCAGCCTTATAGTACGATGTATCTACATCGACATCCATACTCTGCATGATAATGTCATGCTGCTTGTTGTCCCCGTAAGCCAACGTGTCGCCTACAGCGTCAGCAGTTGGGTCCCTTTGCGACAACCCATCCAGGCCTATAGTTTGGACAACTCTACATAATGAAGAGATATATAACATTAGTACAACTTAGAGGAGTGTTAAGTGAGAGGTGATAGGAGTGTTTGCGGCTACGTTGCTATGGTAACCTCCAATCGGGTACACTATATGCAGCATTGCAATCTGCAGTGTACTGGCAGGGCTTCAGAACTGTATGTAGAGCATACGTATTTTTTTGCAACAATAATCTCGGTACAACCACAAATACTATACAAATATCAAACATTTTGCAACATATACCATATAGACATGCTTGTAGGTTTATAAAGATCGCGTTTGAATACGAATATAGCCATGATCAAGACTGAACGGTGCATATGTTTAAATGCATATAAATAACATGCATAAATACGAATATGGCCTTGATTAAAACTGAATAATGCATGTGTTTATATGTATATGAACAGTATTTGAATACGAATATAGCCATGATTAAGACTGAACGGGGCCTATGTTTATATGTATATAAATAACGTGCTTAAATACGAATATGACCTTGATTAAGACTGAATGGTGCATATGTTTATATGTATATGAACAGTATTTGAATTCGAATATGGCCGTGATTAAGACTGAACGGTGCATATGTTTATATGTATATGGATGACATTTGAATACGAATATAGTCATGATTAAGACTGAACGGTGCATATGTTTATATGCAAATATAAAAACATCTTTAAATACGAATATAGTCATGATCAAGACTGAATGGTGCATATGTTTATATGTACATAAATAGCACATCGGAACACAAATATAATAATGCCTAGGGCTCAGCGGTGTATATTCCCTTACCGGTTCCCATCGAACATCGTTCGCACAATACCCTCGTCGCGGTCGGGGACGTACGGCTGTTCTATTTTTAGGTCGTCCGTGCTCATTGGCTCTTCCAATGCAGAGGTGAGGCTGTCCATATCCACTGCCTCCAGTAATGTGTCATGCGCGTGTGCTTTTGAGTTGATGACCACTGAAGCTTCTGCAGCGGAGGTTAGGAGAGTGGAAGTTGGGATTGACTTAAGATTCAGGGTTTAGTTGGAACACTTGCAACTTCGGAATAACGGCACTGTGCTAGCCAGGATACTGTTTAAAATATGTGTATTTATATATACCGTTTATAATGTGTATATATATGTACACTGTTTAAAATGTGTGTATTTATATATACCGCTTAAAATGTGTGTATATATGTACACTATTTAAAATGTGTGTATTTATGTTCACTGTTTTCACCGTGTGTTTATGTTTATTGTTTAAATGTGTATATTTATGTATATTGCTTTATATATATGTATTTATGTAGTATATTCAAAATGTATATGTCTGTTATTTATTGTTCAAAATGTGTGTTTGTCTACTGTCTCAAATGTGTGTTTGTCTACTGTCTCAAATGTGTGTTTGTCTACTGTCTCAAATGTGTGTGTTTATGTCCACTGCTGAAAAACGTTTACTAAAAAAATACCGTTGGAGCTGTGTATGCTCGCTGTTGGAGTTGCCTTTGTGTTTTGAACGCACTGAACACTTCAGTCCAATGAGCCGGTTGTCATTCTAGCGACCACCCACCAGCAGCTATCACCAAAACACAGCTCAACATCAGTACCACTCTTCACATACATCATTACCTCTCTATTTCATCGTTGGAGAGTGCAAATGTGCACTCGTCGTATGTGCTACTACCAAAGATTTGCAACACAAATAACAAACATTGTGGATGTGTCGTGAATTACCTTGTTCGTCGTACGGATTGCCTGTGTGCATCCACTGCGGCACCGGCCGGGGGTCGCGTCCGGATGTGTCGACGTTCATTTCCTGTGATCAATATCAATAAACGTTAATATTAGTTTAGGGTTTTAGGGTTGTAAGCTATAGTGTGATGAATTCATTTATGTGAGCTGACCCTGTGTGTACCGTTGCAAGACGCATAACATAAGATATGTCTCTCTAATACGCACATCCGTGAATCAGCGTCGGATGAGCTACATACTCAGGTATATACACATGCAAACTGAATATATATATATATTTATGTCTACATATATCATCACTATATACATATATACATATATATATATATATATACATGACAAATATATATATATACATG